GTAGACCAGTGGCTCTCAACTAGGGGGCAAGTCTGCCCCCAAGGGGACATTTGGCAATATCTGGAGACATTTTTGATTGTTACAACTTGGGGGGAAGGTACTACTGACTACTGGCATCTAGAGGGTGAGGACATTGCTGCTAAACACCCAACAATGCGCAGGACATCCCCTTGCAACAAAGAAGTATCCAGTTCCAAATGTCAATAGTGCTGAAGTTGAGGTAAGGAGGGGCCAGATCAGGAAGAAAGTATTTGCCCAAGAGCAAGAAGAAATAATTGAAAAGTGTTTGTGTGATGAGCTCCGGGTTTTAGGAGCTCATTTCGGCAGCAGACAGACAATGTATCAGAGACGTGGGGGTGAGGGGTGGACTTTCCTCGTGGCGCAGTGGTTAAGAACCTGCCTGCCAATGCAGGGGACACGGGCTCGAGCCCTGGTCCGGGAAGATCCCTCATGCCGCGGAGCAACTAAGCCCGTGCGCCACAACTACTGAGCCCATGTGCCACAAGTACTGAAGCTGCGTGCCTAGAGCCCATGCTCTGCAACAAGAGAAGCCACCGCAATGAGAAGGCTGCGCACCGCGACGAAGGGTAGCGCCCCCCGCCCCCCGCTCTCTGCAACCAGAGAAAGCCCGCGCACAGCAACGAAGACCCAATGCAGCCAAAAATTTAAAAAAACAAATAAATAAATAGATAAATTTAAAAAAAAGAAATGGGGAGGTTATGGTAAGAGGAGGAAGGGAAAGTGATTTGAGAGCCACCGAAGTGATCCAGGTGAAAGACAGTCAGCAGTTGGTAGGAGAGCAGCAGGGGAGTGGGGTTGGGTGGGTAGATGAGATGGCAAAGAAAGCGCACTATGACTGTGAATGTGTGGTGATGAGAAGATTGTGGACGATGGCCCCAGAGTCCTGGCTTGGGGGTTTGGGTGCAAGGTGATGATTTCTCCTGAGAAAGGGACCACAAGAAGAGGAGCAGTTTAGTGTAGGGGTGTGTGTGTGTGTGTGTGTGTGTGTGTGTGTGCACGCGTGTATGTGATGAGTCAGTCTGACGTGTTGAATTCATAATGCGCATGGGACATCCAAGTTGGGAAGCTTATTTGGTGGCTGTATATGTGAGTCTGCAGTTGTGGACCAAACCTGGTGAGGAGCAGGTCTGGGGCTGGAGATGAAGACTTGGGAGTGATCTGCATATATTTCATAGCTTGAGACGTGGGGGTAGATGAGATAACCCATGGAGTGTGTGTAGAGTTAGGAAAGAAGGGCACCAAGAAACCAGGTGATGGCCAATATTTAAAATTCCAGAAGAGAAAGAGGAGCCCACCAGCAGAAACTGGGAAGGAATGGCTACAGGAGTTAAGAGAAGAGGCTGTTTTTAAGAAGGAGGAAGTAAAGAGGTATCAGGCACTACAGAGGTCAAATAAGACAAGAACTGAAGAATGTCTGTTGGGTTTGGCAATTAGGTGGTCAGTGGGGACCTTGGCAAGAGTAGTTTCCATGGAGCAATGCGGGGTGGGCAGAAACCAGATTACTATGGTGTAAGAAGTCAAGGGGGTTGAAGAGCTGGCCAGCAAGTCTACACTGCTCATTGGGGGAGCTTGGCTTTGGTGCCAAGAAACGAACCCACCTCATTCTTTGACTTAACGCTCCGGGAAACACCAATCATCCATATCCTGGCTCAAATTCCAGCAGGGGGAATTTGAGCCATGGTTTGGCTCCTAGAATGCCTCCTACTTCTCTTCTGCCTCTCCTCTCCTGTCTGTCAGTCCTTCAGAGCCCAGTCCAAGGAACACCTTTACAAGAAGCCCTCTCTGCCTGCCCTTGCCCTTAATGTGACTCTGGTAGCACAGAAAATTGGTATTTTCCAGCAAGTGAAAGTTTTATCCTTCTAAGTGTCCACTCAATACAGTGCCTTGTTTTACTAAGAGGTTCATTTTGTTTGTCTTGCTTTATCAGCTACATGAAGCCTCCCTGAGATTAGAGACCACCTCAGTATTTACTGAATGAATGAATGTATGACCCAATGCACAGAGCCTGGCCCACGATTGTGTCCATGGCAGGTGGGGCTCAGAAAGACACCTGTAGAATTGAAATTAATGGACTTTGACTTTAACTCAGCTGGACTTTCTCCAGGAAGTAAATTTCAAGTTGATTAATTTCAAACTAATTGAAAAACTCCTTCTATGATCTGGGTAGAGTTCTAGGCAGTGCGCAAGAAAGACCAGGTCCCTGTTTTCTTAGAACTTACTTCCTACTGGGAGAGACAGACAGTAAACAAGAAACCAGTGAAGGAGCAAGGTCGTATCACTTTGGCCAGTGTTCTGATGGAAGTAAATGAATGGTGTGCACCAGAGTAACTAGATATGCGAATGGGTTGGGTGGGCTTTTTTAAAAAATTTAATTAATATTAATTTTACTTTTGGCTGCATTGGGTCTTCATTGCTGCATGCGGGCTTTCTCTAGTTGCAGTGAGCAGGGGCTACTCTTCCTTGAGGTGCACGGGCTTCTCATCGTGGTGGCTTCTCTAGTTGTGGAGCACAGGCTCTAGGCGCACGGGCTTCAGTAGTTGTGGCTTGTGGGCTCTAGAGCGCAGGCTCAGTAGTTGCAGCACAGGGGCTTAGTTGCCCTGCGGCACGTAGGATCTCTCCTGACCAGGGCTCGAACCCGTATCCCCTGCATTGGCAGGTGAATTCTTAACCACTGTGCCACCAGGGAAGTCCCCGGAATGGGCTTCTTTAGAAAGAGTTCTCAGAGAAGACTTCTCTGAGGAGGCGACCTTGGAGCCGAGACCCACTAGATGAGAAGGAGCCAGTACCAAACTTTAGCTTGGCCAATGGAGCAGAAACCAGTATGACAAGGGTCACACACACCAGTGAGGTTGGACAAGTAGACAAGAGCCAGACCATGGAGGCCCTTGAAGGCAATGGTAATGAGTTTGGGTGAATTGCTGGCACAGACGGAAGACACTGAATGGCAAGCACGGGGATGATGGGCTCGGATGTACATTATCAAACGTTGGCAGCTTGGGCTATAGGGAGGTGGCAGCAGAGATGGAGAGAAGTAGATGGTCTGGGAAAGTATTGAAGGTGGAAGGTGGGGTGGAGGATGGGCACTGACTGCAAAGACATATTCCTTCTAACCTTGTTGTGTGTACACAGCCCCTGGGAGAGGAGATGCCTGGAGGCCAAGGGGGGTTCTCTCACCAAGGGCGAAGGAAGAGCACTGAACTGGGAATCAGGATGTCTGAGTCCTCCATATCTTAGGCATGGAGACTGGACTGGGTCACCTCTAAAGGCCCTTCCAGCCCTAGCAGCCCAGCCCTTGGTCTTTGTCAATTGTTGGGGCATCCAAAGGGGGAAGTGACAAAGGAGCTGTAAATCAAGGTTGATTTCACAGAGCAATGGCCCAGGTCTCTATCTCCTGGGCTGCTTACCCCTGGAATGACGTTAGTCCTTTCACCACCTTATCTGCCCCCAGGGAGATGTTGGCTAAGCCCAGGCAGCAGACAGTTGATCAGCTCTGAAGTTCTGTTTTCTGCAGTTCATTGCTTCTCTGAGGGCAGAACTTGGAGCTAGAAGAGGCTAACCGGCCTCTTATGGTCTGAGGGGAAGGGTGGTGGGACCTCTGGCTGGAATCAAACCTCTCTTTCTCCCTGTCCATATTTCCTGACCTTCTGTCCCTGGGTTCTTTAGAAGGTCCTCCAGCCCATTCCTTTGGGACACTCACCTGTGCCAATCAATCCCCCACCATCAACTGCACCAACTGTAAATTTCATCCTGGGAAGGAAACGGGCGTCGACGGTTGTATGTGTCTTCTATGCCACATAACAAATTGGCTCAGATTTAGTGACTTCAAACAGCACACATTTATTAGCTCACAGTTCTGTAGGTCAGAAGTCTGGGCATGGCATGGCTGGATTTTCTGCTCAGAGTCTCTCAAGGCTAAAATCAAGGTGTTGGCTGAGCTGTGTTCTCACCTAGAGTTCAGGGTCCTCTTCCAAGCTCACATGGTTGTGGTAAAATTCTGTTCCTTCTGCTGTTCCTGGCTGCCTGTCACATGCGGGCTGCTCCACATTCCTTGCCCTCCGTCCTCAAAGCCAGCAACGGAGAGCCTCCCTTGGGTAGAATCCTGCTCATGTTTTTTTTTGCAGTACGTGGGCCTCTCACTGTTGTGGCCTCTCCCGTTGCGGAGCACAGGCTCCGGACGCGCAGGCTCAGCGGCCACGGCTCACGGGCCCAGCCGCTCCGCAGCATGTGGGATCTTCCCGGACCAGGGCACGAACCCGCGTCCCCTGCATCGGCAGGCGGACTCTCAACCACTGTGCCACCAGGGAAGCCCCCTGCTCATGTCTGTAATCTCTGACTTCAGAAAGAGCCCAGTCACTTTAAAGGGCTTTTGCCTGACTCGATCAGACTCATCCGGGATATTCTCCCTTTCATAAGGTCAACTGTGCCATATAATATAACACAACCACAGGAGTAAATGCCATCCTATGTCCCTATGTACAGTCCCAGGGATTATGCACCATGTGTGCACGGGAGTGGGAGACGGATCTTCGGGGACGTCTTAGAATTCCGCTGATTACGAGAGCCAAGGAGGACATTTTTGGTGGAGAAGTTTGGAGGCCATTCCTGGCAATTTGAGAACAAATCATGCAGTAAAGTGAGAAGTTCCTTTGCCTTTTGTGAGGACATAGAGCAATCTCATGGATGGTTTGAACACTCACCCTAGAAACGTCACACCATATGTTGTCTATATTTGCAGAGTTCATGGCCCCTTGAATCCATTCCTAGTTTCTAGGTTGATAAACCCTGGGGCAGGGTGTGGGGAGGGTGCAAGTGGAGATGAGGGTTGAGCAGTGTGAGTTGGGTATTTGGAGCTGCAGAGCTTTCTACCTTCAAGCTGCTCTGTGTTGGTCATGGGAGGGAGTATTTACTGAATGAATGAACGTGTGTGTGTGTGTGTGTCTGTGTCCAACTCTGTTCTCCATTGCAGGATAAAAGCCGAAATGAAACTCCACCTACTTCTGGCTCTTGTACTTGGGACAGTTTCAGCTTTTCATCTGAGTGAATCTCCTTGGCCTTCAGCCTTTCTTTCTCTCCTTGACTCCTTTCTATAGTTTATAGGGTCAGAGTCACATAGCCACCTTCCTCTCTGGCCATCCCCTGTTTCAGGATCTCTGCACAGAAAGGAGCGGGGACTCTAGAGCTGGAGTGGAAGGGATTCCTCAGGGCATCTGCATGTCTGCAGTCTTGGTTCTACTGTCACGTTCTCAATGTTGTCCTTTCTGCAAGATGCAAACGATGATCAAATGATCACTTCTTTTACTCTGAGCTCACCGAGTGTACAGTGCTAAGCGTTTTCTATGCGTTATCTCCTTTAATCCTCATAGCATCGCCATGAGGTATGGGGTGTGGTATACCCACATCACAAACGAAGAACTAAAGCTAGTAGATGATGGAACCTGAACAAAACCCACAACTTCCTGACTCTAAGTTCATGCCCTTAACCACCAGGACCTCATGTGGGAGGTTGGCTTCTCCTGGGGTGGGGTGGGCTCCGTTCCAGGTTCCTCTCTTTCCAGGGCTCAGCTTGCAAATGCCTGGGGCCGGAAGGGAGCTGTCCGTGGTTCTGGGGAGGAACAGGGGAAGATGTGAAGGAGGGGCACTTGACCTTTCTTCTTGCCAGGAACTGAAATGCCCAACATTGAGAGCCCCTTGGGAGATGACACCCTGCCTCAGGTTGGGGAGGTGCCAGAAAGTGAGGCAAAGGAGACCCCTGTGGAGGGATGCTGCTAGAGGAAGAGGAAGATAGGGGCTCTGGAAGTGAAGATGCCCCCAGGGAAGAGGGGGCTGTTGAGTCCATCTCAGCCTTGGATGAGGTAGACAGGGACCTTCAGTGTCCTAAGGATGAGGACACAGTAAAACTGGAGGGCATCCCTGGATGCAAGACCTGCCGCTTCCTCCTGGTGAGGATCCCCTGAATTTTATTCATGCTCAGGTGAGTGGCCAGGGGCTGAGGCTGAGGCCCAGGGTGGCGATAGGGAGCTGGTGTCTCCAGCCTCTGTGTCGCTGGTCATTTTCCTCACTGAGGACCCTGGGGGTGTTAGCAGAGGCTGAGACCCGCAGAGGTGTTGGGGGTAAGAGGTGAGGGTCATGCGGAAACAGAAGTTGCATCTTAATCTCCAGCCTTCAAATGTCTGTGGGGCTGGTGGGGTGGACGGTGAGTTTTGGAGATTTAGACACCCAGGACTAAGGTGATGTGAATTCCTGTGGGACGGGCACACCATTCTTCCTCTTTCATTCTGCCCTGCAGTTAACTTGCCAGAGGTGCTACCGGGGCAGACTCATCTCCATCCACAACTTCAGCCTTAATTACCAGATCCAGTGCTTAGTCAGACAGATCAACCAGGGCCAAGTCTGGATCGGATGCCAGGTCACCGGCTGGGTAAGAGGGGTCCCAGCTCTCAGTGGGGAGCACCTCCTGACCCCAGCCCATGTTCAACCTGCTGCAGATTTGTCTGTGCTTCTCTACAATCCCCTGAAGAACTGGGGATAGATGGACACCTGGGTGAGACAGCAAGGGGGCTGCCTGGGCATCGGGAACAGCCGAGCATTTAGAATCAGGATGTTTAGGTGCGAGTTCTGCTCAGTCTCTGACTGTCTATAGGACCTGGGCAAGACCGTGAGCCTCGTTCCTCATCTGTAGGATGGGGTTGGAACTCCTGCCCTACCTCTTGTTAGAGCCAAAAGGATGGGGGTGTCACTGGAATGCATAGAATGTGATGGTGACAATCACCGTGGATCTACATTTCAGTTGACCAGGACTGTGTCCATTGTGGTCCAACAGTCCTTTAAGGGCCAATGCCTGGCGGGCAGTGGGAGGGTCAGGCAGGGATAGTCCCAGCTCTGCCTACCTGCTTTCCCTTTGCCCATGTCCCAGCCCACCTCTTTCC